TGTAGATGTGGCACTTGGGGACTTGGTTTAGTGGGGGACTTGACAGTGTGAGTTCTATGGTTGATGATCTTAGAGACCTTTCCCGACCTTAATGATTCTCTGATTCTATCTCCCAAGGCATGCCAGGTCCTACATGAAGCAGGGAGCCCTTTGCACTGCACTGCACATGCCAAGGGATCAGCATATGGGGAGATAAGTGGTGGCTACACTCAACCACTATGCTTGACATGTAGCAGTGACCCTAGCGTGGTGGGTTTGTATTCCAGGCGCAAAAGAGGTACCTGGACCTTGGAAATGTTCTGGTTGGTGACCTGCAAAGCTGCAGCATTGTACTGCTAAATGATGGGATCTGTTCTCTGAATTACATCCTCAGTGTGGAACAACTCATCACTGGGCCCTGTGACCCTGAGGAGGTCCGCAGCGATCCACTAGGTACTGTAAAGGAGTTAGCATGGGATGGGGCCTTAGCTTTTCCCTCTTTTCTCCAAAATCAATCTAGCATGAACTCAGAGGTCGGTCTGCTTGCTGGCTAGCTTGCATTGATTATCTCAAACCTTAAGGTGTCTGCTCCTTTGTGTAGGAGGTGACTCTTATATCTTGCTAGAAAAAGCATAACCCAGAGCCTGACAACTGAAGTTAGACCAATCTGGACCTTGAAATAAAATGCAATTTCCCAGCAGAGAAGGAAGTTAAATAAAGGAACTTCCCAAAAGAAATGTTGGAGTGCAACCCTTAGCTGCTTTTTTAGAGGATCTCCTCTGGAGCAGTTCCCTCTTCTTTGCTAGCCAAAGGCAGGCTGGGTACTCCCAATAAACTGCCTACAGTTGTAGCCTGGGAATCCCAACTTCCACACCTGAAGCTGATCCTAACAATTAGAAAAGGGATGGCAGTGGCTTGAGTGCAGGTAGGCTTAGAGATCTGTGTGCTGAACATACATGTGGTGTAAGAGGGACCAGTGACGCCACAAGCTTATACCATCTCTTGTCTCCTACAGCTCTAGAGTTGGACTGCTCCAGAGGGACAATCCCTGCAAGATCAAAAGCTTTTGTTGGAATAACAGTAAGGCCAGCCCGTCGGCTGCATTACACCTGGTCAATCAAATATGCTCTTTGCACCCCGACAGGTGAGATGGATGTTTTGGGGTGTTCAGAGGTGGGGAACAGCATTTATAAAAGAAGAGACTAGCTAGACAAACACTTTTCAGCTTGGAAAGTGGAAAACAGCAATGTCACATGAATGGTAGGGAGAAAACAAGATATAAACAACTGTTTATCATTTTTCATTGTGAAAACAAGGCACACTTCATAAAATGACTAGACTGTAGGCTTAAATCAAGAAAAGGCTTTTTTCACATAGTGCAGAACTAAATTATGTAAATACAGTTGAAAAGGATCACATTCATAGTCTTTTGGTGATCTCTAAATACACAGCAAGGTACAACTAGAAGCCAGTGGTCTGGAGGTTTTGAGAAGCTGCCAAAGTAAAGATTATGTACAAGTCTCTCTCTTTCTCTCTTTCTTTCTCTCTTTCTCTCTTTCTCTCTTTCTCTCTTTCTTTCTCTGGTCTTGGTAGGGTCTCATTGCCCCTTGTTGCAGGCAAAAGGACCCAGGCAGCTTCGCCTTAATGATGCGTGACTACTTTTTGGTGTTTCTTTCTCTCCCAAGCTACAGATCATGCAAGCACAAAAGAGGAGCAGCAGCCCCTCTGCTGCATTGTAGCAACGGGCATCTACCCAACTTTGTGCATCACAGATGCCTGTTCAGCAGGAAGTGCCAACAATATCAGCAAGTTGCACCTCTGGAAGCTCTTCTCCTTGGACACACTGAATGAATACTTGGAGCGAGACCCAACTCCCGGCGAGCTCACCTACAGAGTTCCCACAAGGCACAGGTGAGATGAGGAAATGGCTTAGAGGATTTTTGAGTCTCTTGCACGAGCCAGACAGAGATGCTGTGGCCGTTGGCATGTGTTGCAGCTCATCCTAGGTGCTACAGGCATTTGCTCACCTCCACTTCTCTGCTTACCTACCCTTGAAAGAAGCCACCAAAACAAAGAATAATTTCATTGCAATGGACCTCTAAAAGTCTCTGGTCTAAACCCATGCTCAAAGCAGGGATGTATAGGTCAGGTTTCCCAGGACCTTGTTCAGTACAAAGCTGAACATCTCTGAGGACAAAGAAACAACAGTTAGTCTGAGCATCTGTTTAACCACTTCCACGGTAGAAAGTTTTTTCCTAGTATCTGATCGGATTATCTTGTGCAGTTGCTGTCCCTTAGCCCTTGCTTCATAAGGCTGAGCAAACCCAGGTCTCTTAGTTGCTCCTTGTAAGTAATCATAGAATGGTTTGGGTTGGAAGGGGCCTTAAAGATCATCTAGTTCCAGCCCCCCTGCCATGGACAGGGACACCTTCCACTAGACCAAGTTGCTCAGAGCCCCATTCAGCCTGGCCAATGTGCGCCAGCTCTCAGCCATCTTGGTGGCCCTCCACTGGACCTGCTCCAGTATGTCAGTGACTTTGTTGTACTGGGGAGCTGAAGAGAGACTTCAGCTAAGCAGGACTCTCTTATGCAACTCACTCTCATTAGGCATATATGAAAGATTTTTTTTTTAGAAAGTCAGAAGGCCTGCCTTATGCCCAGCATCTCTTCTCCCCAAAGGGCCAAGAGTGTAAGGTCAGATAAGAATTATAAGGAAAGGAGCCAGTGTAGAATTATCTTCCCCTGTCATGCCCTGCTGACCCTTCCTCCTGTTTCAATTTAATCTCTTCTTTCTCTGTTGCGACCAGCACATGCTTGATCCCTCCAGTGTATACTCCTCTTCTGCTGGATTTCAACTTTGGGTCTGCCCCTGTAGGCTCAGAGCCTGCCCTTGTGATGCTTCTGCTGGAGAACAAGGGTGTGGTGCCTGTGGACTGGTAAGCAATGCTCACTGGAGCTCAGCCTTCTTTTTGGGGTCTGTTTGGGTGTCTGGAAGTGCTCACAGGGCTGTGAGATATTTGCACATTAATAGGGTGGGGGTTTTGGGTGCAGCCTGTGTTATGGAGCTGCAACTGAGATCTGTTTGGTGGGTCTGGGTGGGGAAGCAAGCAGAGAGCTGCAGGGACCTGATGAAATGGGATGTGTCTCCCAGCTAAGCTCAGCTGGACTGAATGTGCTGACCATGGGCCTGGGGAAGTTTCATGTCCTTGTTGCTGATCAGCTGATTGGTTCCCTAGGGCCTTCTTGTTTCCTTCTGATCAGAAGATGGACATGGAGCTTTGGGCAGAGGATATTGAGTTTAGCCCTCGGGAGCTGCACCAGATGAGAATTCAGGATAACCAGCTCTTCAGTGTTTCCCCAAAGTCAGGAACACTTCTTCCAGGACAGGAGAAATCTGTCCAACTCTCACACAGGTGACAAGGACAACTACCTGTACTTCAGAGCCTTGTGCTATGTGCCAGAACAGCACATGCCATCAGTCCCCTGTGTTTCCATGCCAGATCCTTTCCCTTCACATGTCCCTTACTCAGCAGAGAATGGGCAGGTAAAAGATTCCTGAGCATGTCCAGTTTCTGGACTCCATAGACTTTGTCTTCCCCAGGGGAATGTTTTAATGTCCTTTAACACTGCAGTGCAAAAGGAATTTAGTGTGACATGCTGGGGACACTTGTCTGCCTTGATCTGACAGTTGAGGAGATGAACAAGATGCTGCACTTCCTGTGATTTTGATTATGCAGTTATAGTCATATTTTTGTCCTCAGCTAGAGCTGCTAGCCCTTGTGTGCCTGTAGAGGGTATGAAGGAAAGTGAACACCTCCCCTTTCACAGCAGACCATATTTGAGAAGTACTGGCATTTTGTTGGCCTAGAAACTTGGGTTCCTAAATAGGTGTATGACTAAAATCAACACTGTATCACTCATTCCAGCCCAAACATGAATGTTCTCCCACCACCAGCTCCCATCCCCGCCTCCCCGGGGATCTTATGCAACAGTGACTCTTTAGCTGGGAAGTGAATTGTCTCTAATGCTCCGTGTGACCCTGATTCTATCACCCTGGGCACAAGATTGGTTTCTAATGTTTTCGTCTTCTCCTCTTTCACTGCTAGACATGATTTCATTGGCACTGATCGCCTCCCCGTCCTGCTGAAAGTTTCCTACGGCCATGAGATTCTGGTAAGATAGCAGGTGTCACCTCCTTCCATTTGCAGAACAACAGTTAGGAACTGATTTAAGAGGTGTTTTCCCCAGAAGCTGCATGGTGTACAGGGACTGTGGCCTTCCCCTGGCATTTGCACTAACCAGGCAGTAGCAGAGGGCCAAGCAGAGACATAAAACCAACATTCTGACAAACTTGTGGTTCCAGCACAGTGTGATGGGGGCAATGCACTGACAAAATGGCCCTTGGATGTCACATCTGCTAGTTTTCTCAGCAAGAGGACCATTATTCATTATTAACCTTTGTACTTTATTACTGGTGTTAGTGTAGAACTACTTCTTCCTTCAAGGGAACTCCAAGTCCAAAACAGCCTCCCCAGGTTTTACAGTCCCTGCATGTTTTCCACACTCTAGTGTAACTCATGGCCAGGATTTCTGTGCGTGCTTCCCCTCATTTCATCTGCTTCACCGTAAGTTTTTCCATGCAGTCTTCCTGGAGTTCAGATCTTCAACCATCCTACTTCTCTTATATGCAGCTTTCCTGAATCTCTCCATCTCATCAACTCTTCTAAGCTCTTCAAAGCCCCCAGAAATGTGGTCTCCTCCAAAAATACTACCTGCACTGACTGCAGTTTGGGGAAGCACAGGGTGGCAGAGCATCCTCCAGTTCTGGAGGTACAGAAGCAGCTGCCTCTCCAAGCCCAGAAGGTACTCCCTGGGTTCCTGGTTGGCTGTAGCCTTTGTCCACCCACTTATTTCTCCTGCCAATGATAGAGGAGATTCTTACTCATTCTTCCTGCTTCGTTGCTTCCTAAAGCATCCCAGAGCTGATCTATGATGTGTTTTTCCTGAGCATTTCCTCAGGCTTGGAACTAATTTCTCTCTCTCTCCCCCTCTCTAAAACTGTCAGTTAGAGTCAAAGTCACCTTGTGCTTTGCCGGGCACAGCTCATGCCCGGCTGAGCCTTCCTGTCTGTCTCTGAAGTTTCCTATGAGACCATTGTGTTCACACATCTCTTTTATTTTTCTTTTCTTTCGGGACTGTTGTCAGCTGAAAATCCAACCCTTTGACCAAGCTGTTCAAACAGTGGCTTAACTGTGCCTTCCCTCAAAGCCCTTGGACAGGCTCCCTGTGCTCTGCCTGCCTGGCACAATCCTGAGAGTGACTGTGAGCATTTCACCAGCTGGCCCGTGAGGGAATAGGCTTTGGAGCACCAGAAGCCTATAGGGCATGCATCCTCTCTTGCCACATAGCCAGTGGCTTTGATGGCTACCAGAGGCCGCCACTCTGCCTCATGCTGTCACTGCAGAAGGGGCTGAGAAAGCATAGGAGGCCCTGAGGATGAAAAGATTCCTGGGTGCATTTGAGCTCTGGCAATAGGAGCTGCAGAGGCCAGTCCAGAAACATGGAGCAGTGCAAGTAGTTGCAACCTGCAGTGATGCAGTGCCAGTACTGAACTACTGATATCAGAAAGTAGGAGTGGAAGAGGCTCCTCCTTCTGCAGAGAGGGCAGCTGAGGGGCTGAGCACAGTGTACCTTCTTTCCTTTCACTCATGGCATGAAGTGCACAGAGCTGGCAGCCCCCGTGGCAGAGACTGTCCTAAGGGTGCTCACATGCCAGGGTGGAGCAAATCCTCACCTGAGAATCTGGTGAAATGTGTAGAATATAGGCTAACCTTAAGGGAAGCAAATGCTGTAATGTCACCCCAGAAGTTAAGTTTTGGAAATTTCAGAAAGCAACAATAAGCAGAGGACAAAACCATTGAGCTGAGGTATTGCTTGGTTATTCTGTCAAATTCCAAATTACTTGGCCTTGGAGCAGTGTTGTTAGCCAGCTGCAAGCCAATGCCTGTTTTTGGGGAGGGGCCTAAATTCACTTCTGTGATTACTCTGTTCATGTGGATAGACTTTGACCTTCCACTCTGTTTCCCCAACAGAGCCTGTCTACTGCATTTTCATGAGAAGCTCCCTCTCCATTACTCCTTCCCATTCAGTGGCCTTCTTTCAGTCCTGTGATGACTGGATTTATAGGTGCTCTGAAGAACCCAAACTGATTTTCCATTGGCATTTTCTTCTGGCTACAGGAGGAGACTCTGTGGGACTTGTGTGTTACCCAATTCCTTGTGCAGTAGGGTAACATGGCCTCCCACCGCCTAATGCTCTCACAGGCTGTCCTTTGCCCTGTTGCCTGTAAGAGTGCAGCTGTGACCTTGTTCTCGGAGCTCCAGAATTGTTTGGCCAGGCAGAACCTGCAGCTCTTAGCAGTTTCACTAGGAAAAGCCCAGCCAGGTGCAGGTGTTGCAGGATGAAGCCAGTTTGCAGAACTCCCTGGAGAAAAGGGCTGGAGAAGGAGAATCCCTGAGCACACAGGTTTCATAAACTGGAAGTGTTTGCAGTTCACTTCTTAGCTGTTAATTAGGTATTGTGAGATGTTACACCTGCAGCACATGTTTTCCAGGCAGCTCTCCTCCCTGGGGAATTTGCATCCCTCTTATGCTCTAAGTCTTCACTGTGGGATGAAGTCTATGCACTCGAAGCAGAATTGATTGCAGCAGGTCTTCACGTTTCTCCATTTATTTCCCTTTAAGTGATAGTCCTCTAAATGTCACATCCTGTCTCAAATGGAAACTAATTACAGTTTTTCCTGGGCATTTGTGGTCTGTTGGAATTCAAGGTGTTTTTTTGACTGAAGGAATATAAATGTGTACTTCATTCACAAAGCTCACAAAGTTTCCTGTCCCTTTTACCCTTGAAGTTTGAAAGTGTCAGCTTATGTCCTGCTCCTGTTATCATTTTGTCTGGCATATTGTGGCCCTCAGGAGGCTGAATGCTCATGTAGTGCTTTGAAAAGATCCCATGAGGGACCTTTTTAGCATTGTATTTCTAGTCCTCTCTTCTTCCTCACTTTGCTTATGGAACTGAACCAGAATGGGTTGTTTTGAAGGAATTGTCATTCTCTGCTCCTTTTTAAGTAGCTGATACAGTATCTCCTTCAGGTGTCTGTCTAAGGCATCCACCTGCCATCGCAAACATCCTCTCTGTTTTCTGCACATACACTTGAAAAATAGCTGTGCTTCAGGTTTAACTTACTGGGAATTGCAGCAACTCAGCTCCCACTGGCCCATGCAGAGACATTACTAACTCTGTGACTGCTTTGCAGACTCTACCCCAAGGGAGACAGCTCAAAGGAGCTTTGGGGTGATTATGCAGGAAATCATGCATCATGACTCATCTTTGGCCTGATGGCAGTTTTTCTCAAAATGCAGGATCCTGAGTCAATGTAGAATCCCTTCTATGAAATAGCTCTGTAAATCTCTCCATGTTACTTGGAGTGCCTGGTGGCTGCTTTGCTGACAAAATACTGTTGGTCATTATTTAAGCACATAAAAGTTCAGCTGGGATCTTCTTGCAGCTTTCGGACTGTTAGACACATTCATAGAGCAGATGTCCTTTGTAGTGAGGACATCCAGATGGTCCTTTCCAAGAGGAGGCCATTACTTACCTAAAATCATTTCTTTCAAAAGGGTTTGGCTGTCACAGCTGCATGCTCTCCTATGTACAGCCTAGACACTTTAATTCATGGAGAATTTCCACCATGCATTTGCACAGAGAAGCACTGATGCTGATGCCTGACAGAGCAGAGACAAAAGAATGTTCTTTCTGAAACAAGAGGGGAACCTTTCAGAGAAAAGTTAACAGTTGAGTAGGTTCTCCATCTCCTTGATTTTTTTCTTAGGACCCTCTATCCTGGTATTACCAATTTAAGTCTGTAACTGTGTTGCCTTCAGCTTGCTAAGTACTTCAGAATCCTTGTGTTAGTGATGGGTGCGAGGCCCTGTGAGAAAGTGACTGCATTTCTTTCCACTGTAGCTGACCTTCATTGGCGTGACAGTGGAACATGACCAGCGGTATGCTCATTTTGCATCCACTAAGCACCTTTTCACACCCATTGCCATTGGAGGCTCCCGCCCTCCCACACAGGTGAGCATCTTGGAGCCAAACCCAGCAGCAAGTTAGGGAAGGAGCTAGTGCCATTGTGTCCCAAGGACAGGCAGTGCCTGTGGCGATTCTAAGGAAATGGAATGGCCTCCACAGGAAAGCATTACAGCAGAACTTTGAGACTAGTCCTAGGCAGAGTCTGGAAATGGTACCGGGGAAAGTACTCACCATCTCCAGTTTGACAAGATGTGGTGTTCACTCTAGTTGGAATAATTATGGGGCATGTTGGGCTGTTCCCTTATTCTCTTGTATTGTCTCTGAGTGAAAACTTGCCTACCTGCTCCAAGTACTCTGGAAATAAATTCTAATTAGTTTTTTGCCAAATTAATTAAACTTCCTTAAACACTTATTCAGCAAAAAGGCAGCTTTGATTCTGTTCTGCCTAATTTACTTGGGAAATTAATATGTCTGAATTGAATTAAGATCACTATGAGTGATCACTATTAAGATCAATATGAGTGGTTTTGCATTTTAAGTAATCTGCTTTACAGTGATCCCTTTAGCTAATTTGTATTAATTTTTTCCTAATGTGAATTTGCAAGGCACCATTTGGAGAGATGTGGTGGTTATCAATGTACATGTGTGGTGATAAACTTTCAGCACAGTCTCCTATCAGAGCCTCAGTGATAAATCTTGACACTATAAGGTCTCCTCGTTCTTAGGAGACAAGCTGACAAATTAATTATTAATGGTTATCCAAGTCCTCTGGGGAAGTGTTAACCAGTTTAACTCGTACATGGTATAATAAGGATAGCTCTTTCTGACTCATTTCAGATTTATAAACTCTACAACGGTGGCTCCATGCCTGTGATGTTTGAGGTTCAGCTGGACAACCTCATGAGGATACAGGAGGAGAATTTTCAGCATCCTGTGTTTGTCTGCCTAACTCCTAGAGGAGAAATCCCCCCTGGCAAAACAGGCCACATTGAGTGGATCTTCTCACCACTGGAAGCTAAAACGTACTCGGTAAGATCCTCCTCATGACTACCGGAAACAGATTGTTTCTGTTGACCTAAAATTCTTTAGGTTTCTTACTGATGGTTGGTCCATGTCATGCTACAGCTGAACTGAGCTCCATTCCTCCAAGACACAATCTTCAGATCAAGTGAGTGGCTGATCTGATCAAGAAATGGAGCAAATAAATTGTTATATCATAAGAACAGATTTCTTCCACAACCAGAGTCATCACAGTCTATATATTTCAAGGATCAAACAGTAACTGAGAATATCAAACAGTATCTGTTCAGATTTTTGGTTCATTGTTGGCCTCCAAAAACTCCCACCAAAGAGACTGAAGTCAGTGTCTTTTACCATTGCAGCACATGCTGCTGCAGACCTCTGGCAACAGCTTTCCCAAAGGCCTCTGTCCTGGGCTGCAGCAAGCAGGCAGGGCCAGAGGTAGAGCACTACTTATTGCCTCACTCTGTGGTGGATGCATGGAAAAATAAATTAATTTTAAAACTCCAACTTTTGCTCCAAGTCTCTGACCATCTCATGCTGCAACTGGCTAATTGACTACTTTAACAGCTTTCCTGGGCTAGCAGGAAAGGTCAAGGCCTGAAAAAGAGACTAGATTTCTCTTCTTCCATGCATGTGGTGTATTTTAGACCAATCCATTAGCAAGTGTGCTAGCTTATTGCACATCTCTACCAAAAATTACTCTGGACTTAAAACTCTTATCTTGTCCAAGGCAGGTTGATGTTCCCATCCACATCCTGGGGGGTGAATCAGCCCTGATCACTTTCCAGGGAGTAGGCTACAATCCAAATGCTGTAGGAGAGGCTACCACATCCAGCAAAGCTTTGTCTCCTTCAGTCTTTCCAGGTTCTAACAAGCTAATTGTGCCTGGACAGGTAAGTCCAAGTGTGTGATATGAGCAATATGATCAGTCCAGAAATGTGTGAGAGAGACTGAAATATGCACATGGTTCATTCTAGCAGTAGCCCGTGTTGCAGGAGAGTTCATTTGCCATGAGATGGAACAAGACATTTCCCTTCCAGCAGGTCGTCTAGAGCCTAACTCATAAAAGCTGAATGGTGCCTTCCTTCCAGCTTGCTGCTTCCATAGTCATTAAAACCAAAAAGGGTTTGGGATTTGTTTGTGTATCAAATTTTCCCTTAGAAGTTACCCCCATCACAGCTGCCTTTCTCATTTGCAGCTACAACACCTTTTTCTTTGGTAATTCATTCACAAAAAGACCATCATACTCCTACATACCTTGTCAAGGCTTGACTCCCACCAGTTCACAGCCAAACTCAGATGATTCATAACCTGAATGCTGACTGCAGGATGGTCACTAATGCAGGCACATCCCGAGGAATGCACTTGTTTGATCTGCCACTGGCTCAGCAGGAGCTTGTCTGGCCTGGCTAGAGCTGGCCTGCCAGCCTGGACAGTCTGTTAAACTCACCCCCAGATCCCAACATAGTGAATCAGTGTTAAACAGCCTCAGCAGAGGCATTCTGCAGTCAGGTAAAGAATCCATCCTCTGTGACGTTAGCATGCCTTCCTTGGATCCCAGACACAGCTCCGTATGCTCTTTGGCTTCTGCAGGGCAATTATGTTCCTGGATACAGCAAAGAGAAGTTGGTTAAAAACCTCTCTCAGGCTGCCAATGAAGATGCCATGACACAAGGCTCTGTTATCTGAAACCAAGTCATTAGTTTCTTTCTCCAATGATCAGTGTACATAATTAGAGTTTGCACTGGGCCTGGAGAATGGGACAAACTAGTAGCATACTAGCACCAACATGCGTTAGGGTACTAATAACTTACATTCAGGTTGATGAGGATTATACACAAGCACGTGCCTGGCGTGTTTGTCAGCTCAAGTAGGAAAAGGCCTGGGTTGCAAGTACTGCAGAGAATCTGAGTTTACTGGTCCTCTGTGCTCCTGAGATCCTCTCCTGTCCGGCACCAGTGTTATGTCCTATTCATTGCTTACCCAGTCCCACTGCAACAGGGCTGTCCTCTTGTGGTAAAGTCGTTGCAACCAGAGCAAAGATGGGAGAAATGTAACACTCCCTTAAGTTGTTATGGTAAAGGCAACTGGTGAATATTATCTATGAATTGATGGATAAATTAGATATGACAGGGTGACTGCCCTTCCCCAGTGGCCACATCCCATCTTCCTTCCCTGGTGTTCCTTCTGGTTTCACCTTGTTTCCTGCAGGTAGCCACCTTGTCACACCACAGGATTTGCTTTGGAAATATCCCAGACTGCACCAAAGCCAGTCGACTTGTCTTTCTCAACAATATCTCGGAGAGCAAGGCTGTTGTGTTTGCCTGGCAGATAAGCCCCTGTAAAGACAAGAAGGTGAGTCCTCTTTGCTCTACAGCCTTCTTGGCCATGTCTGTTGGGTCATGAAAGGACCTTACAACTCCATTTTCAGCAAGACACTCAGTTCTAGAGAATTGGCTTTTACTAGCTGATGAAAGGAAAAGGCAGAGAAAAATGAAGGCAAGGGTTCGGAGAGGGGGAAAAGACAGGAATTCAGAAGGGAAATCTGAAGACTTAGGTGAGGTAACATAAAGCTGGAACTACAGGATGTGATAACGGACCTCAGAACTCTGTCCACCAGCAAAGTCCATGGTCATTCTTTGAATGTATCAGCTGCATCTCTCTCATGCCACATACCTCTAAGAAGGACATGTGTGTTTCCTGCAAAGAGAAGGCACATAGGAAGGTCCCAGGACCATGAAACAGCTCCTCTGGGGATGGGTTTTGTTTTGGTTTATTTTGTTTTCCCCCCTCATCCCAGGTGTTGCAGATTGCTCCAGAGTCAGGGGTTGTGCAGCCTGGAGAGAGCATCCCTTGCTTCATCACACTGGGACCCACAGGGAATCCCTCCTCCTGCAGCACAGATCTGGTGTGTGAGGTGAGACCCAAGAGGTACCTGTATATTATCATTACCTGGGCATGTCATTGTGGTTCCCAAATGGCTGACCCCAGCAGTCCGCTGCCTGCTGCTTCCAGCTGAAGGAATCCTTCTCTGGTATGCACTTCTCATTCCTGAAGGCACTTAGCTTCATCCTTCCTGATGCTTTAAGTGTCTCTCTCTCTATGTGGCTCACTAGATGAGGTGTAACTGTGCAACATATGGTTTTGTGAGATGAAGTTATGGTTTGAATGAGAGTGGCTTTCAGTGGATGTCAAAGATTTGAAATCTGTAAAAAAGAAGTCTTGCAGCTTTAATATTAGTGGGGGCACAGACTTACAATAGTCTCCCTCTGGACATTCTCCAGGTTTTCTTTGGCAAGAGAATATTTCTTCTCTGTATGAGTCTTATAATAGCACTGTTCTTTCCTCTTTCTTCCACTGGAATACATGGAAAGCCAGTGGGCTCCTTTCTGGGACCTCCTGAAAAGAGAGAAATTGGTGACAGGCATGGAATTGAGCCAGAGATTGTGTTATTTGCAGCTCCCTGCTCCTTCCAGTCATGGTTTCCTTCATAGGTATACATACAGGAGTCCCTGGTTCAGTATGAGAGGGACCTGCAGGAGTGGCAAAAGGAGAAGGAACGGCAGGCTGTAGAATTCACCATCACAGAGAAGGACCTTGGGACTAAGAGTAAGCCAATGTCACCTGCAATGGTAAGCGCTCTCAAAACTTTATGCCAGCTTAGCTCAGCTCAGAAACAGCAGACAGTGTCAACAAGAAATGTTCTTTAAAAAAATCTAGGCAAGTTGATAAGAGGATATGAGCCTCTGATCTGTTCAAGACCTCAAAGCTGATCTGTGGATCATGGAAAATGAGATCATGGTTTCCAGCCAAGAATTGCCTTACAAACTCTGAAATTGCTAGTGACCATCTGAAATTTGGAAGTGCATGAGAAGCCTTAGGAGAAACAAAGCCAGTGGCTGTGGATACCAGGGTTTGGATTTTTAACCATGAATAAACATTGGAGAGAAATGTGTAGCTAGCAGTAAAAATGTGGCCTGACTGAAGAATGGGAGGATGAGATCATTGACTCTCAGCTGACACAAAGTAAAAAAAAAATTCTAGTCTTGTTCTGCTCCATATCTTTCTTATATGGTAATTTCTCTTAATTTTTTTAATATACGTATTTTATTTTATTTTTAGAGGTTATCAGATTCTGCTGAGACAGAAAATCTTCCTGAATCCTCAGCTGTAATCAGGAAATACAAGGTAAGTCAGTCCTGTCTTGCCCGTAGTAGAATCAAACTGATTGCTTTAGAAAAGAGACAGATGCTGGATATCACAGCGTGGGAGTCTGGACAGAGAGTACAACAGGATTTGTAGCTTCAAGGCTTTGGGATACAGACTGTTTGGAGGAGCCAGAAGAATTAGACTGTCTGGCTGTGTTCTGTGGGCAGTAACTTTCCAGCTGAGGTGAATGGGAATTGAAATTGGAACCAAATGTGTACCCATAACTAGAGAAAAGGGGAAAGGTTTCAAATAAGCAAAAAAGATGCAGGGCAGTTGGCACCTGGACTGGTTTCATGCTGGGAATACAATGGAAGGCAGCAGGACTCTGGCAGGATGTGGTGCAGACTTTGCCCTCACCACTAGAAGAACTGTGCTCTGTGCCTCAGGAGAAGCTGCAAGACAAACTGCTGGAAGACAGCTTTTCCTGCAGTGGTGGGAAGGTGTGAGACAAGGTTCCAGTCAATGCTCTGCAGAACTGTCTAGGTCCAAAGGCACAGCCACGCTGCACATATAGCTGTCAGCAGGACATGCTATGGGAACGGCAGGGCTCATGGAGAACCAGCTAACCCAAGATGTGGAAGGGTTTAGGGGAGCTGAGGGCAGGCTGGGCCTGTGAAGACTGAGGTCACTAGGAGATGCGGCTTGTTATCTTCGGAGTGTCACCAGAGTCAGGCTGTAGCAGTGCTCCTGGAACCCTGTGGAGTGCCTGTGCATGCCTTTCACTGTCCCGTGTGAAGGAATCAGCTCAGAGTGGCTCTAGCTTGGATTGTCTGCCCTGTGCTATTAGGTGTGATCAGTGATGCAGATCAAGGCATTCACTTGGGATGAACATAAGAATTGCTGCAGAAAAGTAAAAAAAAATTAATTTAGTGATCTAGAGTTTTAACCCCTAGTGTCAATTTGGAGCCTGCAACCACTTGCTGTGTCTGTGTAAGGAGCAGTGAAGGCCCCTGGCCTCATATTCAGTGGCGGGACAGCTATGTCTCAAAGATCATTGAAGTCCTGCAATGCCTGAGGGCTTCCCCAGATATCGGTAATGTCCTTCCCCCAAACTGACTGCTGGTAATGCAACCCCAGGTTGGCCCATGTAGTGTGGCTGGAGTCAGTTCTTGGTTTCCTTCCAGGTTGGGGGACAATTTCCCCATGCATTCCATCCATGTACTCCACTTCTCACACAGCACTCCTGGTGTGCTCATAAGAGCAAAGATGATCTTCCAGAGTTCCACAGTGATAGACTGGAGTACAACAGCCCCAAGTGGGGAGGCTCTGAAGCCCTGCTGACACTTGGGGCAGGCACGCTAGGCAGTGAGGAGGGAACGGACCTGATTTTCACTATGGCTGCTTGTGCCTGATAGCAGTACTGTGGTGCTAAGATCATTTTGACACCAGGATCTGGAAGCTCTGGCTGCTGGGCTTTCTGTTCTTATGCCTGTGCTTAAGCCTACACCAGCCTACCTGTGACCAAAGGAGCAACTATATACCTGCCATTTCTTTCTTTCCAACAGACATTACCCCCTATTAAAAGCCACCCTAAGCCCAGTCAGCCATCTGGACCCCTTGAGAGGAGGCTGCTGTTGGGCAAAGACACCAGCGGGTCTTGGGTGTGGGTCAAACCAGAGCATCCCAAGCCCATGCTCTTACACCTTGATGTGTCAGCCAGGTCCCATGCTATTGAGGACTTTCTCAGGAACTTCGCTTTGGAGTTGCCCAAATACTTCTTGTCCCGGTAAGAGATAGAGTTTTTTGGATTGGCTTCCTCTTCTGAGCCAGGGCTGCCCATGCTCTGATATGCACTGAACTTGGAGCTCTGCTCTGCTCTTCTCCAGTGCCTCAGAATTAGGTAAGAGTGCTCTGCTTTCCCCAGCATTAGCTGACATGACCTGTTATTCTCTTCCACAAAGGGGAGATACTGTCAGAGCTCAGTGCTCCTCTCTTATGACAGTGTCCACACTGCTGTCACAAATACAGCAGCTCCCACTCCTTGCCTGGTTCCCCGCACTGCTCGCTGCTTGCCTGAATTGCTCCAGCAGTGCCAGGATGGTGCAGGTAGTTTGGTCCAGTAGTGCTCCCACTGATGGAACAACAACTTCTTTCCCAGCTCCTTCAGCGCCCAGCCCTCAGAGAGTGAGTTTGTGGATTGGAGTAGGTACAGAAACAGGATGGACATGGAGCCCAAAAGTATGTCCCTGGTGGCTGCTTTGAAACAGGAGTTGCAGATGATGACTGACATACTCACAGGTGTCATCAGGTGCGTGTCACTTCACCCTCACCTGGTTTAGAGTCCCTGTCCTCCACAGAATTCATGCAGCATGGCTAGCCCTCTGCTAATCCCAGAGGAATCTGTGCACCCTTATTGCACCATAACAGGGGATCCACCTGCCAAAGGACTATGAGCTCAGGGATCCTGGTGTGACAGCCAAAGGCAGGGTCTTGCTCCCCAACCAAAGACTGAGTCCATCTCTCCGTGGTTCCCAGAACTAGGGAGCTCTGCCTGCTGTGATCTTGGAAACAGGCTACATTGGAATACACCTGTTTGGTTTGTCAGCTGCATAGATGTAAAGAACAAGGGCTGGGGAAGCAGAGATAGTTTCATTAGTTAGGCAATCTTGCTGCCACCCTGAGCCCCAGAAAGCAAGAAGGGACAGACTAAACACTGACATCAGTCAGGGTTTTCCTTTGATTTGTACTATCTTGTAATGATCCTCTGGGTCATACAGATAGCTGATTTGCTGGAACTCATCCTTTATTTTCCTATTCCCAGAGGCCTCTTGGAGAACGCCCAGTTCCACGATGCAGTGAGAAGAAGCCAGGATCAGCCTATTCCATATTTCTCCCAGTTCCGGTCTGCAAAATCAGCAGAAGTCCGGGACAGGAGACAGTGCTCCACGATCCCCTCCAGGGCCTCTGCTTCGTCAGATCTTTACCTTGAGAAAAATGGAGAGAAGAAAGAAATGAGTCAGGAAACCTCTCCCAGTGATTTGCTGCAGTCTTGGGAGATTTTTCACCACAAGCAGTTGAGTGAGAGGAAGGAGATGATAAGTAGGTGAGGAAGAGCTCACACATAAAAGGCAAGATCTCCACAGGCAGGAGAGCCATGGCAGCACACTGCCAGGCCAGAAATCCATTTCTCCTTCAACCCTGCAGCATTTCTGCTGGGGTGTTTTGTGTTCTCTGAGTGGAAGTTGATGCTAGCCCACCTAGCCACCCTCTGCTGAGCGTGGTTTGTGAAGAGGGAAGGTTTGCTGTGTCTGGGGTTGGGCAGGGTCGGGATGCTGGTAGTTAGTGAGGTCTGCTTTACACTCGGACAGTCCTGGCTGTATTAGACATGAGGGTGAAGTGCGTGCTTACTTCACCTTTTATTTTCACTGCAGTATTTCACTACCTTGCATTTGCTGTGGCTACTCCCTTGCACACTGCTACAGGTTACAAGCATATTCACAAATACCAGCTAGAGCACAGCTTAGAGGGAGAAATCAGTAAAACCACAGTCACCCAGCTCTGTCTGGGGTCAGGGCCTGTCACCAGCTAGCACAGTGCTAAGACAAGGGTCAGCAACCTGAGCTGACAAGGGTCAGCTCAAGTCTTTGGTTCATTGGCCTCAGTGCACAGGAAACTGTGTACTCCACTGCTGTCCCTGATGATTCCTGGGAGGAGTCACAGCAAGTAGCCTGCCTTATCTCCTTTCTGATAGCTGTCCTCTGCGTGTACTTCTGTGCCTCTAGGCAGCCGGCTGTTGGGAACCTCGTGGAGCTGGTGCTGGAAAACACACTGCAGAATATCCTGATTGAAGCCAGTCGTGGGGAGGTGGTGCTGACAGCCCGGCCCAGGGTCATTGCTCTACCCCCCAGCCCTTCCCGAAGGTACCAGAGTATATCTGTGTTCTGATGGGGTACAGGACCTGTCCTTAACATGTCAGGCTGAAGCACAGCCCATTTTTAGACCTTGTGGATTAGCTGAATCCCTGCCTATCAATGCCAAGGCTGCCTGTGCACAAGGGGGAAATCCACTCTCAAAGTCACTGCCCCTTCTTGACTTGTCCTGACCCACAGAGCAGAGATGGTAATGACACATCCTTTCTGTGGACCTGAGACCCTTATGCAGTTCTAGGCCATGGCCCTATGGGTGAACAGCTGGCCTGACACACTGGAGAGCCCAGCACAAGGATGGTCCTATGGGAGAAGGAGTCAAAGTAGCAGGCAGCACAGCTTCTGACAGCAGAAAGGGGGCAAAGCTTTTGTAGTCCAAGATGGTGTGGGATCTAGTTAGGTTAAAGGAATGGCCATTGGTGGGAGAAGTAGATTTGAGGCTGAGGACAAAGCATGAGAGTTTGCCCCAGCTTGGACAGAATTGCAGGAAGATGGGATTGAAAGTTGATGGGAGAGGGTTGTTGGATGGAGATGTCATCACCAGAGCTGCAATCTCTTCTTCAGAGTCACCAATCCGGCCCCCCCAACCACCAGAGCATAGTTGCTGGGCACTGTGCTGCTTGAGCTCTTCAAGCACATCAGCTCTCTCCATTCTTCATCCTGTCCCTGTGATGTCCAGAGCAACTCTGACCCTCCCAAACCATGACCTGAGCTCAGCATGCTGGCTGCCTCTGAGGAGGTATGTACTGATTATGTTCTCAGCTCCAATATGAATCCTCTGACAACTCCACAGCAGAGTTTGTGAGATCTCTCCTTTCTGTGGCTGGCCACATCATTGGAGAAGAACTCTGTGCTACAGGGAGCACACGGAAAACCTCTGTGACAATTACCACTTGTCCCAGTCTGTACCAGCTGGGAAAGGAGTGGAATCTGCTTTGAAATGTAGCTGACTGACTTTGAAATGCAGACTGACAGCTGGGCAATGAGATGATAAGCCCCTGACGACATCAGTAGGATGCAGGTACTGAATCCTCCTCCCCTCCTTGCTCCAGTGATGGCTGCAGGTTCCCCTTACAGCGACCAGCCCGAGGAGGCAGCTGCAGCACCATCAGCACACTGAGCAGCCAAATAAAAGCAACTTGGCCTCTGGACACAGACACCAGCGTGTAACATATATAATTCATGTGTCTGTTTTTGTGAGCACCCTGGACAAGGTCTTTGCTTTTCAAGCTGCAAGGCTGTCACCTGGGGAAGGGCATGCTTTGAGCCTTGGCCTGGCTTGGGGGGGTTTGTCAGGCTGCAGTAGGTGTCGCAGTGAAGGAGCGGGTTTGTCACAGCCGGGAGGTGGCAGTGTGAGTTGTGAGAAATCCCAGCAGCCGGCGCAGAGGCTGATGCTGGGCCCCAGCTGCTGCTCCCAGGTGGAACCTTCAGGATGGCTGTACCAGGCAATGGGGCTTGGTTTGCAGCACGTCCCCTCTTCTGCAACCCTGCTATGGGCTCTGCAACGCTGGACTCGCACAGCTGCCCAGCTCTGGTGAGAATGCAGCTGGTGTTTCCCTCCAAACTCTCCTGCCCTGTTGTCCAGTGCCAGGACCCAGCCAAGACCAGAGCTGCATCTTCTTCCCTTGCAGCCCAAGAGAAGACTGTGCACGAGGAGCTGGAGAGGGCTTTTGCCCTGCTCAGCAGAGGGCAGATGCCTGCTGTGCCTGGCGGTACCACAGCTCACCCAGCTTCACCCAACAAAGCTCCGCTTCACGCAGGAGCCCTGTGTGTGTAACCGTTATTAAGCCTCAGGGCTGAGCTGTTCCTATTGTACAGCAGAGGCACTGCCAGCTCCTGAGCTCAGCCTAAGTGCCTCAGGCCTTCACGTGGGTCCTGGATCCTTCTCATGAGAAGTGCAGACCCTCTCTTCCCTCCCCAGCACTCTGGGTGCCAGGTCTCCTATGTCACAGCAGTCTGTCTGTCTTCCTCTGGACTGTGACTAGTGCTGACCAGGTAATAGGGAACCACTTCCTTCCTCCACAGCTCAAGCAGCAGTGGTGCCTGGCTGTTCAGTCCACTTGGGGTGATTCTGCTTGATCCAGGCTCCTCACTAGGATTTGCTCACTGCAGATGCTCTGTAGTCCTGTGACAAGCTTCCCAAGTGGATGACACAGGCAGGGGCAGAAGCCTCACCCTTGCCTAAAGCAGGTTGAATCCAGCTGCCTGCAGGAGCCCAAGGATCAGCTTAGAGCAGTGGAGACAGGATAGTCCTAGTTTGTCCATCCTCAGACCTCCAGAGTGATCTGATGCTGCCTGGGCTGCATCACTGTTAACTCCTCTGCCTGGAGGAGTTAATATGGCAAATGCTGTGAGTTAGTCTGCTGTAACACCCAAAAGTGAATGGATGAAGCTCAAATGCAGTCACATGTTCAGGGAATGATTTTTTTTGTCATTAAAGCTTCTATCCTTCTCACTCTTCTCTGCTGAACACAGCCTGGACTTGGAGAAAACAGAACTCACACTCTACTTGCCTGTTGGAGCACTATCAGAGGTAAATTCACTTCTCTTATAAGCATCACTGTACCAGGAGAGAGCCCTAAGATGGTGCCTTAAGCAATGTGTGAGTCAGGTCTGAGAGCTACCTACACCTCTGAGAGAAATTTTCCTCCACTTAGCTTTTTGCAGGGGCTGTGAGACGGTGGTATGTCATCTCTGGTGCCTGTCAACCAGAATCACTTTGTTGCATACACTAAGCAAAGACAGTAGCAGCTGTCACACTTTTGCTCCTTTTATCCTCATCCTAAAGTACAAATACACTGGGGACAGCCTCTTTCCCAGATTGTGGAAATTCCTGCTTCTTCTTCGCAGGCTAAAAACTAGACCCTGGCCCTGGTTTTGGAAAACACTTGCGACCAAGCCACACAGCTGTCCCTTTGGCAAATGGAGACAACATCACCCCCAGGCACTGCCTGGGGTGAGCTCTGCAGAGTGGGGAGCCTACAGAAATGGACTCACGCAGGGGGCTTCTCCCTCACTTGGATCTTGGGGGCAATGGTGAGGTGAAGAGTGGGCAGAGATGTGCAGAGCTGGCAGGGAGGGCTTTTCCCATAGCAAGAGGCTTTGTTGGTACCCACTGCCAAGGGCAATGAACTGTGGGACTGTAGTAGAGCCAGACCCACGGCCCAGCTCAGCTCCCAGAAAAGGCAAGAAGGTCTGTCTGTGCTAACCACATTTGGGTCTCAAGCAGGAGGAAGTCTGAGCTTGTTGTACTGTCTTCCAGGGCTGGATTGGGCCCCTGCTCCAACGCAGCTACATTTCTAATGCACATCTCTCTAAGAGAAATATGGTAGATACGGGTCCTGCTCCTTCCCACTGGTGATGAGTGATGTTTCTACGGGGCTGGGGTTGGTGTTCAGGCCAGGCTGCCAGCAGGTATTCGACAAGCTTCGGGATGGCCAAGCGTAAGCTTCACAAGCTAATGGGACTCCCCCTCTCCTTGTTGGACTTATCAGGAGCACTCAGTCATCAGGCAGTTAATGCATCACACAACAGGCCTTTTCTTCTTGGCTGTTACTTCTGGCTCCCAGGGAGGGGTGAAATGGCCTTGGGGCAGGTGGGCAACAGAAGCTATCCTGAATCCCATTAAAACATTTAACACCTGCTGAATCGTGCCATTGTCCAGGAGATAAAGGGAAGGGAACAAAGCTGCTCTTGGGCTTCCCTGACAGAGAATCTGTAAGGCTCTGCTGTCCCATTGCAGCTGGGCAACCTGAATCCCCTGCAGAGACCTACTTGGTGGGTCTCTGCCTATGTGGGGGAGGTGGCAATGTTAGGAGACAGTCCCCTGGGTACCCTGCTGCCAGTGTGCACAACCTCTGGTTGGAATCAGCTCCTTCTCCCCCTATATTCCAGGTAGGAACCTGGAAAAGTCCTGCCCTGACCAGTCTACAGTGTCTGTGCAGGCAGGGCTAAGTCTGAAGAGTAAAACCATGAGGGTGATCCTTCTGAAGCCTTTGGAAGAGCTGTGCAAAGACTCTTCATCCCTGGCCTCCCATCTCCAAAATACTGAGCTTTGCTGGCTCCGCTGTGTTGCTTTGGTATTTGGGAGTGGGGTCAGGTCAGGCCAGGGCACCACAACGGCTCCTGATGGACAGGAGAGGTGCTCTGATGTGAGCAAGTTTGTCTTCATGGGAAAGTGAGGCAGCACAAGCCCTTGGCTGCTGCGAGGAGAGGCTGAGCCTGCCTTTCCAAGGCCAGCCCTGCTGGGGGCACAAACAAGGGCTTGGTCCTGGCTCTGCCCGCCTGCCTGGCAGGGAAGAGCACAAGCTGGTAGAGGCTGCCTCAGAGATGCCATAGCCAGGGCAGGTGAAAGACATTCCCCGGGACAGCAGTCCAGTGCAGGGCACTCTGCAAGCTCGAGGGACCTGGTTTTCTCCTGGTTTCCATAGGGCAGCCCTGCGAGGACAGTATTTGCTGTTATTTGGTGAGTGGTGAGGCCCTGCCCTTGCAGGAGAGAGGTTGGGGTGAGAAAGCATTTCTGGCACAGCACACAAGCTTGGAGATGTCTGCTGGAACTGCAGCAGCACCTGTGTGGTTTGGGGTTTTTTTCGGCTTCTCCAGAAATAGAGGGGGCAGCCAATCAACTATGCCAAGAGCTGCTGCTCCGCTCTGCTGGTGCATGGCCGGGAGAGGTGAGAGTCCTGTCCAGTGCATTTCACACACTAGGAAAGGAGAAATATGCAAGTCCAAGCATCACAGCCTGTACAGCATCAAAAGGAAGAGGAACATCACATTTTTTCTTTGCACCACAACCCAGCCTAGCAGTGATACTGCATTTCCTTTGCTGCCAAAACTACGGAAAAAGAGGATTACGATGAGCAAGGTCAGCAAGTTGGCATCACTCCAGCCCCTCCCAGTGCCAGGCCTGGGGGACCCCAACCTGCAGAGGCAGCAGCAGGCAGGAGGGATGAAGCCTGCTTTTCAAAATCCTCACTCTGAGAGGGTCAAATCTCCAAGGAGGAAGAGTTGGGTGACACTGGCTGCTAAGGATCTGCCACTACCCACCTACATTTGGGAATCCATTTACTGCAACCTGCAAGCACACTCCATCTCTGGAAAGAGGGATGGTGACGGTTTCTAAAGCACACCCAGAACCAGGATTCCTGCAGGTGTCCACCGTGTGGGTTAAAGCAGTGCTACCCCCTTCCTCACCCGCAAACACACCCATCTACACAAACAAACAGGCCAGTGCACTTGCACAAAGGAGCTTCTCCTGGCACCGCTGCTGCACTTCATGCTCTGTTATCCAGGGAGCTGTGGGTGCCAGAGTAATCGAGAGAGATAGCCCAGCTCCTGCAGTCTGTGGCTGAGATCAGCAGAGGACCGTCAGGGCTGAGCAGCGTGGCTGGGCACCGCAGGAGTGTGTCTAAACTTCTGGTCCCATGAGCTCTGCACACTGCCCCCCAGAGCCAGCATGGGGATGTCTGCACTGGTTACCCCGCTGGGCAGTGACACAGCCAGGATGCAGGAGTGCTGTGACTCTGAGATGCAGTGACCCCACCGGGAGGCATATGCACATGGAGTGAAACACATCCTGTTCTTGTGGCTGCGTTAGCACAGCTGGCTCCTGGCCCGTGTGGCCATGCTGGGAACACTCCCAAAGATAGCGAGCAGAGGTAGTTTTGTTGAGCTCTGCTTTGCTGCCTGGCTCAGAGGTCTGTGGGCTTCTCTAAATGAAGTGTGAGCATCACCAGAGTGTGCCCAGGGGATTTTCAGCATGAGTAGGGGGATTGGGGTGAGGGCCACAGAGTCTTTGCTGTAACTGGCACTCAGTGTCAGACTGCTTGGGGTAGGTACTAGATTTGCTTTTCTGCCCTCAGAAAATCTCAGTGCTCCCTCACCTTTCAGCAGCCCAAAACACTGCAAGCAAGCCACCGCTATCCCAGAGCTGCCTAGGTAGGGTACCCTCACACCTGCTTCCCCAGGCCCCCTGCTCTCCTCTCATCCCCTGCTGCAAAGTGAGCCAGGCAGGTGGGTGGAAAAGTGACAGCTGGTGTTGTTCCAGCGCAGGTTAATGAATGTCTCCTCCTCTCCCCCCCACCTCCTCCTCCCCACCACCCCAGCACCCAGGCTCCTGACTCCTATCAGCCCATCAGGCTCCCATTAACAAAGGCAGCCCTGG